ATATAAATAATGAGGGAGGGGGGGTCCGTGTTTTAACCTGCAAGTCACAGTCATCAGACAGGACAAAGCCAGGATCCATGAGAGAAACTGCAAAGTACAGCAACACAGACACCAGGACCAGCAGCACAAAGAGAACCGGCAGTGTGAGCTCCCCCGTCTCCTCCTGTCTGCGGAGGTCTGCATGGAAGCAGAATAGTGTAGTAGAGTGGAATACAGTGGCACAGAAATTAGAATATAATAGTATAATACAGTATATTAGAGTAAAATAAAACAGTGGTGTGGAATAGTGCAGAACTGTGGAAGCCCATATGACCTACTAAAGGCTGGAATACACTAAATGACTTTTAAAATCTAAACAGATTTTAAAACATTAGGCATCATAAATTTGTCACATTTGTAAACAGCTGGCATCATGCACTAAACGACTGCCTGAATCAATCGCCTCACTGAGGATGACAAATGAAAACGATGTGAAACTGGCTTTGACTATTGGCAGCTCCAACTTGTTCAGACTGCAAATCGTGGCAAAAATCTGGGCAGAAGTCTGTAGTGCATTCCAGCCTTATATGGCAAATTATGAGATAAAAACTTTTAGTCATCATTTTGACTTTATCTTATAATTACGATTTAGCATGTCAATCTCATAATTTTAATTTGCCATAATTTTTTGTCAAAACTTTTTATCTCATAATTGACTTTTTGTCATAATTTCTACTGTTTATTTCATAACTGACTTCATCTCATAATTTTAATTTGATCATAATTTCCACTTTTATGTTATAATTTTGACTTTTTATGTCACAACTTAGTATCTCATTTAACTTTTTGTCGTAATTTCAACTTTTATCTCATCTTTTATCTTCCGACAGAGTGGAAAGTGTGCAGTAGAACAGAATAGAATATAGCAGAGAATAGAATGTAAGAGAGTGTGCTAGAGCAGAATAGTTAGAGATCATCTAAACGTTGACTGGTAAAGGAAGTGATAGAGGACTGAACCTCAAACACACGGTGATGCAGATACAGGTGTGAAGCAGAATTCTGTACATCATATAGCCGCTGTAGCCATCAAATAACACGTCTATAGATGAGGCAGATATACTCGCAGTAGAATCAGCATCTATTAAGAGCACTTACCGGTGTCGTGGAGGAAGAGAATCAACGTTATAACCCATGTCAAGATGACATGAGCGGTCCTCACCAGGAATCCTGATCCGAACACATTTTTGAACATCCTAGCATACTTCTATATACGCCTAAGCATGCATCTGCTGTGTGCTCGAAATGAAATGCATCTTATTCTCAGAGTCACAGACCTCTAGGCAGCTAGCTGTGTTAGCCAGCTCATAAGAAACCCAGTTACATTCCAGCTGTCAAGCGAGCTCCTACGCGTCCTACGCTAAATTCCAGAACTAGAATCATTTTAACCACAATATTTCACCCTAGCATTGAACTTTTTGTGCTGCACATCTAATCCAGCAGAATATAGCATCGTAACGCAACCGAAGCGCGGTACTTCATTTAGATACTGTGTTTCTCTCGCTCTAATAAGCTTGTTGATGCCGTTCCGCTGCTTAGACGTGAATCGGGTAGATGTCATGTTTCCTATTGGTCAGCTGTGGTCACGTGACGTCTCGGCTAGAAACTGGGAAGCAACGGCAGAGCCAAAGGAAAAGAAAACACAATATCTGTAAATGGGTGTATGATTTTATTGCTATAGTAAAGTTGTATAAAATTATATACTATGCAAAACAAGGCGATACAAACTAATAAAAAGATCACATTGTATTTTGTAGTCATACATACATATAAAAAACTATTTTTATAAACAATTTATTCTACTCTAACCTTTTGAAGAATTATGTATAATTATGTAGGCTAATAATTGGGGTCAGTAAGATATTTTAATGAAATTAATAGTTTTATTCAACAAGGATGCATTACATTGATTGTGACAGTAAATACATTAATAATTTGTTACAATCTTTTTATTTCAAATGAATGCTGTCTATTCAAACTTTCTATGTATCATAAAATCCAGGGAGAAAAATGACGGTTTTAAATACAACTGTTTTTAACACTGATAATAATAAGGAATGTTTCTTGAGCCCCAAATTTCTTCAAATTTCAAGTGACAATGAAGACTGGGGTAATGGCTGCTGAAAATTAAAAAAAAAAAATTCATATTAAATTTCAAAATATATAAAAACAGAAAACAGTTATTTTAAGTTGTAATTTCCCAATATTACTGTTTTTTTCCCCTGTATTTTTGATAAATGCAGACTTGGTAAGTATTTTTTAAATATCTTACCGACCTCAAATTTGATTTATTTTTGATTATTAAACATCCCTTTCATTTCCTTTAATATTTGCCTGGCCCTAGACATAATGGAATCCTCAGTTGGAAACACTATGTAGTTTGCACAAGATTCTTGGCTTCATTCTCATCAAGTAGAAAAGGGGACTTCAAGTTCTTCTGTTTCAGCAGCTTTTCCAGACCCTGTGAAACACAGCAGTTAAAATGTAACCATGTGTCATGGAGGGTAAAAATGAAAAAAGGAGAGAAAGAGATGGAGTGTTACAGCTGTCTCTTGAACTCTCTCCTGAGAACAGGACCACTACTCTGACATCATTCGCTCTGTTTCACATCATGCTCCATATGTTCACACTTGCTTGTTATTCTTTTTTCACTCTGGGCCTCTTGCCTCTTTTTGTACTAACTGTGACATTTTGTAATCAAACAACTATATGCAAAACTCTAATATTTAGCTTTTCTGATAATTATGTTAACCTAAAATTAAAAAAACGTACTGTTTACCAGTATTAGCAACTCCAGTTTAAAGCAAAGCTTTAATAATTGCATATAAGTAGTCACATTTTTACCTCGCCAAAGTATGATACAAGTGGAGAGATTTCGCAGATTGCTGGGGGGTCTTTATTCTGCAAAAGAAAGAGTAGACCAAGTTATTATAAACCACACACTATCTTAGGTAAATTCCTTTTAGGCATATTCCTTTGAGGTCAAAAGTTATTGGATTCATAACAAGAATGAAAATTTCTAGACCATTTCCTGCTCTACATCTGGTGTAGTATAACTATGATACTTGAGGAAACTTGCAATGTAGCATTTTTGTCATACTGCAAAAGAAAGAGTAGACCAAGTTATTATAAACCACACACCATCTTAGGTAAATTCCTTTTAGGCATATTCCTTTGAGGTCAAAAGTTATTGGATTCATAACAAGAATGAAAATTTCTAGACCATTTCCTGCTCTACATCTGGTGTAGTATAACTATGATACTTGAGGAAACTTGCAATGTAGCATTTACTGTACATTAAGTGATTTCGAAGACACTTTTAACCAAAACAATCTCTGGTAAAACATGATACTAATTTACCTGTTGTGACTTAATATTTTTCTACTGATTTAATATAGGGTATTTTGTGTTACCACCTATGTTTTGGGGGGATGGGTTTATCTTGCTCATCCAGGAAGTTTCCACCAGCTGCTAGTGCCCAGCGGTAATGTTGCGCTAACAAGGATCGGCGTGCTGTAGTTGGTGTGTCCAAAGGTGCCCCATCAGCATTTTTTAGGGGTGAGAATTCCTCCTCTCTCAACACCTCAAAGGCGACAAATTTGCTGCAAAAAAAAAAAAAAACAGATGATGGTGAGGAAGATGGTGATACCCGAATTTGCCCAAATTAACAGTAGCTGTAAAACATACTTTGAGAACTGAAAGACGTCAAAGACAAATTTCTCCATTTTGATGCCGTTGGGCTTGGTTGGTTTCACCAGGTTCCCTTCTCCATCCACAAATGGCACTTTCTTGATTGCCACATGCTGCTTCAGCTGACTTTCAAACTTTCTGCAGGGAAAAAGCATTGAAATAGGAATTATTTTGTACAAAGGGCTTTGTTTACAGTTTACAGAGTCAATATGTTGCTAATTCTTTAACAAATGCATGGATTCTGGGAGCATGTGCTTTTTAGGTTTAACCTTCTGACTAGGCAAACTGTTACATTTAGATTTTAGGTGTCCTTGTACAGGTACAACTAATGTTGTACCTGTACATTGACAATAAAGAGAGCTACGGTGCATTTGAATTTGAACTTACTTTGTCACTGTTAAAAATGAATACAATTCTGATATACAACATCCACCAAGTTGTTACAGTTACCTACACTATTACACATGACCTAACAGAGTCAGTTGCCATTCATAAATCTTCTCATTTTGCCTCATGGGATAGTAAAGTGTCCATCGAATGCACACTTCCGAATGTTGGTGGAAGTCGTAGGTCATCCAGGTACTTTTCGCCTACTGTTTTTAAAAAACTATGAATTCGGATATACTACTCGTATTTTGACGTACTGTTTTTTTGCATACTATATAGTAGGGAAGTATTCGATTTCGGACACAGATATTAGGGGTCAGATATTAATGCCATCTTCACCAAGATGTTATTAGATTGTTTACTGATAATTTTTTTATTGATTCTATTATATTACAACAGAACACGATAATTGTAATATAACAAAAAATGGCCTTTATGGACAATGGAAATTTGACTTAAGAAACACATTTGAAATTGGGATTGTATATTAAAATTGTATATCGACCACATACTCAGCCACTTCCTTTAAGAAGCCTCGGGTAAAGAAGTGGTTGCAGATGTTCCCAGCACTGAACAGGAGCTCTCCTCCTGGGCCTCGCAGCTCTGCGGTCTCTGGTTGGATCTCACTGTACTCGATCACCTGATACAGACCATCCACACGACACACCACTCCAACAGGCTCCGAAGGATACGCCTTATCCACCACCTGACCAGAATAAAGGTAAACATATCTAATTAGGCATAATAATAAATAATAATTTAATAATAGTAAAACAATAATGAATGGGATCTAATTTGAGCCTTCACACAGGATATTTTTACCTTGGCACCACAGTCTGCTCCTTTGTTTACACAAAAGCCAATAAAGACTGGGTCTGCCATCTTCACCAAGATGTTGTCCACACAGTACACGTGAAGATACTCCAGACCCCTTCTCTCCATGTCCTCTAAAATCTTGTTGTCCACTAGAGCACGATAGAGGCCACCATTTCCATCTTAAGTGAACATAGACATGAGATGCAAACGTCATTTTGTTTTAGTGACTGAAGTAAAAAAAGACATTAATTTAATAATTATTTGGCTATTGTCATACAGCTGATGAAAATATAAACTTTAAAAAATCCTGTTGTATTTTATTTTAGTCATTTATGAACTACCCCTCTCTGACCTGGTGCCATGGCTATTTTGTTCTTCTTTTCCAGGATGATCTTCCCATCAAAGCCTACAGCTGGTATCAGTCTCTGCTCAAACATGACTACGTTGGATGGACAAAGACCAAAATATTCATTGTCTCTGAAGAACTTCTCTGTGGGTCCCAGAGTGAACTCACTGGTCATTATATACCTGTTCACATATCATTAAAAGGTAATTCAATACATGTTCTTCTGTCATTTGGAGGTTGAATAAATTCATGAGTGTTTCTTCAACTACAACCACTTGAATGTCGCAGGGGTTGTTTTATCCGTATCCCAGACTTTTAAAAACTGGATACAAATATGAAAACAATTCAGAGAAACCTGAATTATTAATTTTTAAAACTATGACCTAAACAGTATAAATATATATATATATATATATATATATATATATATATATGCTTTCACAACGGGGGCACAGAAAGACCCTTATTTGAATTGCAAATAAAGAGCCATACCATGGTATTGTGCACCTACAACCATGCTTTAAATTGGCCAGCTCTTGCACCTTCTGGATATGCTCAGCTTGGATCTGGTACAGGGTTTTCCCACTTGGAAGCCCAACATTGTACATGCCCTTGGGATATGGCACTCCAAGTCGAGTCCCCTGACCACCAGCTAACAGCAAAACAGCCACTCTGTCCTGTGAAATCTGCAATAACCCTGAGGACAGAAGTCTTTTATATAGTCTTCAATACATGTAATGTTACTTTTGACCAAATTGTAAAAATTAATAAAACAATTGTTTTATATTATTTTGAACATTGGAGCTGTACCTTCATCACCCCACATCTTAAGTCTTTCTTCGTCACTTTTACGCACACTTCCGATGAACTCTGGAGGAACGGGCTCCATCCGCGCGTCTAGCCGACCATCAGCACTCGAGTGTCGGCTTGCAGCCTCAACAGCTGCTCGGCAGTGCTCGAGTAACTCTTCGGGCTTGAGCTGAGATATCTCCTCCAGAAGCGCACTGCTTTCTTCCGCAGAGAGTTCAGACCAAAACTGTAAAACATGGCTCTGTCCTGCAGTTTCTAACCTCGCTTTAGCTGCCTCGAATGACATTATCTTTCCCTTCTGGAAAAAATAAACACATTCATGATCCAACAACAAACCCCGAGTCGAGTCGACTCTCTTCGGAGGAGTCCGGATCCTGTGTGTTTTCACTGCTTGCAACTCGTGATCAGTGTGTGGCTGGTACAATAAACGTATCACTGGAGTTGCATATAATTGGCGAAATAACAGAAAACTACTGTCAAGGCATATTTGGTTTACACGAGTCATTTGGGAACTGACCATGGCTGACTGTGTCTTAAAACCTTATTGAGATGTCTAGCTAGACAGTATTTTAGCTCCTCACTAACAGCTCGAATCAGTTTAGGTATCGGAACGTCCCAAATGCTGTCTAGGTAGGCAGCTCAGTAGGTTTCCAAACACAGCCAGTATTTACTCTAGGTCTGCGGATGAATGACTTCCTCAGAAAGCTAACCGCTGTCATGTGATTAGTCTGCTGAGTTGCTCTCCTTCCCCATTAACTGTGAGGAATCACTTTATATCAGGGATCAGTTCAATGCAAAACTTCTCAAAGAATACTAATATTGACCCATTAAATATGACTGATACCACATTATAGTAATCAGGGATAAACAGCTACAACTATTATTTAAAAAATGCAGTTCTATTCGATAAACTGAACAGTGTATGATGCAGAGATTTGAATGAACTTTAAAAAAAAAAAAAAATTTTAAATTGAGGGTTAGTTTAAAAATGGATTCAAGTACATACAACCAGTTACTTACTAAGATGTAACGAGTAACCTAATCAAAAAAAACCATGAAAGCAAGGTTTTACTTTTTAAATTCTACTGAAAAGTCTATGCAACTAATTGTGTGATAAATAAGTTATAATTGTCATAAGTGAATTTATCAATGTATCCAATTGTTTAAAGGGGTCATATGATGCGATTTCAAATGTTCCTTTCTCTTTGGAGTGTTACAAGCTCTTGGTGCATAAAGAAGATCTGTAAAGTTGCAAAGACTAAAGTCTCAAATCCAAAGAGATATTCTTTATAAAAGTTAAGACTTGTCCTCGCCCTCCTAAAACGGCTCGTTCTAACACGCCCCACATGTCTACATCACTATGTGGGAAGATTTGCATAACACCGCCCAAATGTTCAAGCAAAGAAAGAAGGCGTAACTTTTATCCTCGCTGTAGTATTGTTGTTGCCGCCACCGCCATGTCGTGAAGGC